CCTGAGACACAAAAGGCCAACTTCGTGGTCCTTGCCCAAGACTGGAATTATTCTGGGAGTTGCAAAGGTACAGCAACTTCACCAGGGATGGGAGCTGGCCTGTCCCGGGTGAGCTGATGCTTCTCTCACCTTTAAACCATGGGCAGATCATCTAGGGACACAGATGCAGACAGAGGGACAAAAGAATTCTAGGTGTCTTCAAGACTGAAATTAAAATCACAAGCTCTCTGAGGTCTTCTTAAGCCGATGCTTGGCCTTGCTACAAAATATAGAGGCATGTATTGAGGCAGCTTCAGAGGGTGGACAGCAAAGGTCTCCCCAGAGACCCAGGGCGCGATCAGTTTTTCTCTAAGTACTTTATTAGAGCACGGCCTCCAAGCAGCCGCATGGGTCCATTCCCTTGCGCACAGCGCACGGAAGAGAGCGGGCCCTTCTCCTCCAGGGCCCGAATCGGCAAAGGGAGATGCCAGCGAGCTCCTGCTGGGAGAATCTCGGCTTTCCCAGCGCCAGGCTCCCCTCCTTTATGGCAGACCCACGTCCTGGGGGCGGTGCTGAGCCTCCCCGCTGGGTCTCACGCCAGATTGTTCCTTCCTGTTCTGATGTGTCAAGAGAGAAAGCCTCGTTTCCTAGGATGGGCCTTGCAAGCGTGATGGAAGGATGTTCCCTTCAGCTTGTGTCCATTGATGGGTTGGAAATGGTGCCTGTTGATGGTTTAATCTTGTTTGCTCCTCTTTTCTGATCAGTTAGTAATAGAAGGAAACACATAGAACATAACAGGATTCAGAGGGAAGATAACAGAAGAATATCCATAGAGAATAGATTAAGGAGCGGATAATTTCGTGTCAGAGCTGGTTTGGCACAATACTCAAGACGCACAACGAACCTGCTTCACCAGTTGAAGTGTGACCACTACATCTTCCATTGATCTGGTTGATCAATGTGTGAAGACGCCAGGGAGCTCAAGTTCCTTTCCCCGCCCAGGCAGTGTGAATGCCCTTGGGAGCAGGCCAGCAGTTTGTTCGTTGGGGGGGATCCAAAGTGAGTGGAGGGAGCCTGGTCCAAGAGAAATGCCAGGAAAAGGGATGCATCAGGTGGGTTGCGCAAGCTGTGTGCTCGACCCGCAAGCAGAGCTCTGACAGCAGCCCCTCTTGCAGTTCGAGGAGCTGAAGCGGCAGAAGCTGAAGGACCAGAACATCTTTGTGTCCCAGACGAGACTCTGTGTCCACAACCTGCCCAAGAGCGTGAATGATGCCGCCCTCCGGAAGATAATGCTGCAGGCAGTTGGCGGTGCGCCCGGTGCGAGAATCAAGGAGGTGAGCCTGGCCTGGCCTGGCCTGGCCTGGCCTGGCCTGGCCTCTCCAAGGAGCGTGGCTTGCAGGCCCGGCTTTCTGTGGCCAGGGGTGACCCAGGTGCCCTCTTCCCTCTCGCAAGGACCCACCGGCGACCACTGAGCAAGAGCTGCAGATCCACAGCACTGCTTCTGGAGCCCAGAAAATTGGACTTCAGCCGGAGGGAAGGAGGGTGGCTGGTTCTCCAGAAGCAGAGCTGTGCGAGTGCGGAGCAGAGGCCGATGTGCCTCCTTCCCTCCTCTGGTAGGAGGGCCTTGCGCCACTTCTGCAGGGTGAGAAGAGAGCAGGAGGCCTGGCAGGACTGGGGAGAAGAGGCGGGCTTGCTCTGCATAGGAGCCAGGAGTCCAGAGGGATGTGTCGGGGGCTGGTCCAAGCGCTTCTCTGCATCAGAAAGTTGTTCTGCTGTTCTCGGAAGGAGCCGCGATTCCCTGGATTCCACAGCCATCCTGGGCTGGTGCTCTTGCCATGCAGCACCTTGTGGTTACGAGGTGGATTGAGAAGCCCAACGTTCGCTGCCGAGTAGCGGGGCTTCCCTTAGTCCACCTTGGTGCGTGGCCAGTCCTGCTGTGGCAGTGAAGCCACTGCTTTGCGTGCTGAGCTGCGTCCCAGGACGAACCTTAGAGCTCCCCATCCCAGATCCAGCACTGGCCCTTGGCCTCCGGGGGGGGCAGTCCGTCTCCGGCAGTGTCCGACTCCTGCCCTGCCTCTCCCCACAGTGCCGGGTGATGCGAGAACTGAAGGGGCGGGGTCAGTCTCTGGGGTACGCCTTCGTGGAGTTCCAGGAGCACGAGCACGCCCTGCTTGCCCTGCGCCAGGTCAACAACAGCCCCCAGCTCTTTGGAGACCAAAAGGTGAGAGTGTCCAGTCCTGTCCAGGGGAGATTGTTGGCTGGCACAGGTTCTCCGGAGACCCAGCAGCACAGGGCTGCTTCTTGCCCGGCCCAGCAGCCATCCTACAATCTTCTTGTTCCATGGGACACAGCCTGCCCTCCATCTTTGAGGTTCCCGGGTGTACCTGGGGATCTCAAGACTTGGGATGGGCCATTTGGGGAGAGAAGCAAAGGAGAGTTGGCAGTTCCCAGTCGTGTGGATTTCTGGCCACCCCCTAGAAGGATGCTAGGCTGGGCACCAGACAGAGGGAGACCGCCCCTTGAGCCCAGGAGGACAGAAATCTGGGTGCTCCTTGGCAGCTGCTTTGAAGAGGGTGCCAAGACGGGGCTGTTTTTCTTCCCAGCGGCCTATTGTGGAATTCTCCCTGGAGGATGGGCGGAAGCTGAAGCTGAAGGAGCAGCGCGCTGAGCGCAGCCTGGTAGGGCATCTGCAGGTCTCTTCCAGGGCTGCAGAGCTGAAACCATCTCCCTGGGGAGGCGTCAGTCCCCGCTTTGCTGCTCCACGGGGGCGGGGGGGGGGCATACGCTGGCTCCTGGCAGACTCCTTGAAGTGCGCAAGGGGTCTTGTGGGTGGGAACCCCAGGCAAACATCGTGCTGGCTGGAGTCCATTGGCGCTGGCATC